CGAGCCGCGCGCAGCCCGCTGCTGCCGCGCGCAGCCCGCGCCGAGCCCGCGCAGCCCGCTGCTGCCTCGCGCAGCCCGCGCACGGCCCGCAGCAGCCCCGCGCGCTGCCCGCGCAGCCCGCGCCGAGCCTGCTGCTGCCCCGCGCAGCGCGCGCTGAGCCCGCGCGGCGCGCGCAGCCCGCGCCGAGCCGCGCGCAGCCCGCTGCTGCCTCCCGCAGCCCGCCCCGAGCCCGCGCAGCCCGCACGCGGCCCGCTGCTGCCCCGCGCACCGCTCACGCAGACCCGCCAGGCCACGGAAGCGGCCCCGACCTACCGCTGACACGGCCCAGCCCTGCAGCTGCCTCGGCCCCGACCTGCCGCTGATGCCGTCCCGCCCTGCAGTTGCCACGGCCCCGACCTGCCGCTGATGCGGCCCCGCCCTGCAGCTACCACGGCCCCGACCTGCCGATGCCGCGGCCCCACCCTACAACTGCCGCTGAAGCGGCCCCGCCCTGCAGCTGCTGCGGCCCTACTCTGCAGCCGCTGTTGCGGCCCCGCCGTCGTGCGCCTTCCTCGCGGCCGCCCGCCGAGCGCCGACCCTGCTCGCCTGGCGAGCGTCTGCCCTTCCCGCCTCTGGTGAGCGCCTGCCTACCTGCCTGCCTGCCAGTCTGCCGGCCTACCTGCATGCCGGCCTGCCTGCCTGCCTGCCTGTCTGCCTGCCTGCCTGCCTGCCGGCCTGCCTGCCTGCCTGCCTGCCTGTCTGCCTGCCTGCCTGCCTGCCTGCCGGCCTGCCTGCCTGCCTGCCGGCCTGCCTGCCTGTCTGCCTGCCTGCCTGCCTGCCGGCCTGCCTGCCGGCCTGCCTGCCTGCCTACCGGCCTGCCTGCCTGCCTGCCTGCCTGCCTATCTGTCGGCCTGCCTGCCTGCCGGCCTGCCTGCCTGCCTGCCGCGCCTGCCCTGCCCGAGCTGCTGCTGCTACTGCTGCTACTGGCAGGTAACCAGATGCAGCTCCAGCAACGTTCCCGCGAGTCTCTCACGCCCCAGCAGCTTAGTGAGTGGTACGCTGGTTTGGGTTGTCGTGGTAGCCGTCGTAGCTGTCGCCCTGGAGCTGGTCAGTTGGGAGCGTCCGGCAGTGGCCAGCTGCAGCTGCAGCGGCGTCCACATGAGACACTTACGTCCCTGCAGCTCCACGAGTGGTACGCCCAGAGTGGGTGGTCTTTGCGTACAGCTCGCTGCCCGTACGTCATTCGCACAAGTGCTCTGGCTGGTCAGACCTACACAGTCTCGCTGCTTTGCCCGTCTGAGCGACGCCTGGCGTACAGAGTTTGGCGACGAGGCTGAGCTCCCCACCTGGCTGGAGCTGCTTGGACAGGGGGTAGATATCTTTGCTCTTGACTATGATGCTATTCTCACTGCCATGTATGCATTGCCTACTAGTGCTGACCGTGCCTGTTACCTGTGTGTACCTCCTGACACGGGTATAGAGCCTGCTGCTCTCGGTGCTGGTGAGGCTGCTGCTCTAGGTGCTCGTGCGTCTCCTGCTCTAGGTGCTGGTGAGGCTGCTGCTCTAGGTGCTACTGCGTCTCCTGCTCTAGGTGAAAGTGAGGCTGCTGCTCCAGGTGCTGGTGCGTCTGCTCTCTCTGGTACTGCTCCTACTACGGTCTTGCACACCTTCACCCTTGACTCAGGAGCTTCCCGCTCCTTCTTTCGTGACTGCACCACACTCACGCCGCTTAGTCGGCCAGTTCCAGTCTCCCTGGCGGACCCCTCTGGGGGTCTAGTCCTTGCCCACTACTCCACGGTTCTGCCGTGTCCGGCCGCCCCGTCTGGCTTGCTGTCAGGTCTTTACCTTCCCTCGTTCTCTACGAACTTGGTGAGTGGAGCTGACCTCCAGGATCGGGGGGTTGACCAGTTCACTATTTTCTGTGGCCGTTTGCGGTCCGGTACGCCGCGCATCAGCTCAACCTCTGGTCCCGTGTCTCCTTGCCGTAGACCTCGCCCATACTGCTGTGGACGGGGAAGGTTGGCGATGCGTCGCGTTTCCGGGTCTGGGGTGCTCGTGCCTTTGTCCGCGATACCACCGCGGACAAGCTCTCCGCCCGCGCTGTTCCTTGTGTCTTCCTTGGCTTTGTCCCTGACGCGCCTGGTTGGCAGTTTTACCACCCCACCTCGCGCCGTGTCTTCCCCTCTCAGGACGTCACGTTCGACGAGTCGGTTCCCTTTTACCGTCTCTTCCCCTACCGCACTGCCCCGCTCCCCCCCCCGCCGCTCTTCCTCGCTCCAGGTGCTCCCCAGGTAGACCCCCTCCCCGCTCCTGGTCCTGCTCCTTCAGGTGTGTCTCAGGTAGACCCTCCTCCCTTGACTGCGCGGGGTGAAATCACTGGTGACTCAGGTCCTGCTGAGGGTGGTCCTGCTCGGGGTGCTACTTCTGGGGGTGCTGAGCCTGGGGGTGCAGAGCCTGGGGGTGCTGAGCCTGGGGGTACTGAGCCTGGGGGTGCGGAGCTTGAGGGTGTGGAGCCTGGAGGTGCTGAGCCTGGGTGTGAGGGGTCTGGGGGTGCTGAGCTTGGCAGTACTGAGTCTGGGGGTGCTGAGGCGTCTGGTGAGCAGTCCCTCTGGAGCTGCCGTCTCCGTAGTCGCTCCGCTGGTGCCTCGCCGCTGCCCTCTCGTCGTCGACTCCCCCTCTCCTCCCTGCAGCTGGTTGAGTGGTACCTTGGCCGTCAGGGCCGCGCTGCTGGAGCTGGTGACTCTGCTCCTGGAGCTGTTTCTACTGGAGGCTCTGCTGCTGCTGAGGGTGCGGGCGCTGGAGGTTCTGGAGCTGCTGGAGGTCCTGGTGCTGGTGGCGCTGGAGCTGGAGGTTCTGGAGCTGCTGAGGGTACTGACGCTGGGGGTTCTGGAGCTGCTGAGGGTGCTGGCGCTGGAGGTTCTGGAGCTGCTGGAGGTGCTGGTGCTGAGGGTGCTGACACTGGAGGTTCTGGAGCTGTTAGAGGTGCTGACGCTGAGGGTTCTGAGTCTGCTGTTGCACGGTCTCCTTGGAGTAGCCGCCTTCGTCCACGTGTGCCTCTCACCTCACAGCAGCTGCACGACTGGTACGGTCGCCGTCAGGGTCGCGCTTCTGGAGTTAGAGGCTCTGCTACTGGAGGTACTTCTGCTGACGTCACTGGAGCTGGGAGTGGTGCTGGTCTCGGAGGTGCTCGTACTGGGGGTACTGGAGCTACTGGGGCTGGAGGTGCTGAGCCTGCGGGTGCTGCTGCTGGGGACACTGCGGCTGGAGACCCTGGGACTGGGGGTGCCGGTTCTGGGGGTGCTGCTGCTGGTGGAGCTGGCCCTGGAGGAGCTGGCGCTGAGGGTTCTGGTGCTGCTGGAGGTGCTGGAGCTGCTGGGGGTGCTGGAGCTGCTGGTGCTGGTGGCACTGCACAGCCGCGCCTGTTCTTTGCTCCACCGTCTCCGTCGTCTCAGCCACCGCCTGACTCTGTGCTTCACCAGGTTCTTAGTCTCCCTTCGTCTACTGGTCTTCCGTTACAGCCTGGCTCACCGCTGCCTGCTCCTTCTCCTTACACTGAGCAGATAGGGGGTCTTGCTGAGCGTCGTGAGCCTGTGTCGCGTCCTGTCTCGCCTGTTCGTCCTGGTCGTACCGGTCTTCGTGATCCTCGTCAGCGTCAGCCGGCTGTCCCCGGCACACGCCTTGTAGCCCTGCGTCGGTCCTCTCCTCCGGAGCGTACTCCTCTTCCGTCTCCCCCTGCGTCCTCTTTGCCTGACGTCGCGGACCCTGAGTCTGACCGGTTTCGTGCTGAGCACCCTACTGTCACGCGTCTGCTGCGTCTGCCCTGCGTCCCCCCCCCAGCCCACGTGTTTCACCCGAATCTTCCCCCAGCCCACGTGTTTCACACGAAACTTCCCCTCTCAACTCTCCTCCAGCCCACCCTGTTTCTCCCCTCAGCCCAGGTTGCTCTCTCACCCCTTCCCCCAGCCCACCTGCTCGCCCCTCCCCAAAGCCTGCCTGCCTCCCTCGCCACTCCCAAACCAACCATAAAAATATTACACTTAGTATATGTATTTCGTAATTCTGCTTAGAATTAAAGCTATACACAATCAGCGTAAATTTTTATGAACACTGAATTTTCATAGTTTTTTTTCCTAGGTAACGCTAACTGTCAGCGTTTTTTCCGTACCAAGGCTGATGGATCAGCCTGGTCCAAAACGAATCTAGGGGCCTGGGGCTAATCTAGATGCAGGATCACAACCGTGCGGCTCGGTAACCGTACGCGGTTCGGTAACCGTTTGAACTTTTCCCGCACTTTTCATTTCGAATTCTTCCTGCTTGCAACCGTCTTCGATAACTGTCCTGTCGCTTGGTCTTTCGTCCTCGCTGCAGTCATCTTCGCGTTAAGGATTCGTTACTTTAGGAATATTTATTCAATCATTCCATATCGTAACAGGTGCCGCTAATGAGAAGGAAAGAGTTGATGGTGTTGAAGTTGGGGATTCTAGTCGTGGGGTGTAGGAAGCAGCATCACAACACGAGTGTTTCGAGACGGAGATATCCCGGCTGCGCTGATAGGGGCTGGATGGGGCACTTCCTTGTGGTGTGTGTGTGGTGTGCTTGTCTTGCATGATTGGTTTAGAAAGGGACATGAATTTCAAGGGGTTGTGATGCTTAAAGCCCAGGAGCAGGTGTTTTGGGGTGTGGTAGCCAGGGCTATTTCTGCATTTATTTTGGGAGGGCACATGAAGCAACTAGTAATTGCACACCCTCTATTGGTGGAGTCGTCAATATCCTTTCTGGTACTCAATGCTCATACGGATCCATGAGTTGAGCAACATTCTTATGACTCAGATACAGTCAGCATTGAATAAAATCCCAAATCGAGTACAGAGCCAGAAACCCGAAACCAGTTCCCAAGCACATCGTCATCGCAGCAGTCTTTTCTTTGCGACGGGAATATGCCACAGCAAACGCGCGTTTAGCCGAGTCGTCTGCCTGCCACGCCCATTTCTCTGTGGTTCCGCGGATTGCGGACATTCAGCATGCTGCGGCTCGTGCGCGGCCCGCGTGGTCGCGGGTTGGCCGTGCGACGGGCCGTGCGAGAGGGCGAGGTGCTGCTGGACGAAGCGCCTCTGCTGCTATACGTCGACGACGATGTGTGCGACGACTACTGCTCGCACTGCCTGCGGTGAGCCCTGCGTGCGGTGCGCAGTAGTGAGCAATGCGGCCAGTAACGGCTGTTTTCGTGAGCAACCCTGTAGGTAAGGGTCGTCTCGAAAGTGACCCCGGACCAGACACTTTTCCGAGCCTCGCCCCTCGTCGCGCATTGGCATTCTTCAGCATCCAAGCCCCTAGCTCAGAGAAGCGCGGCAGCTTATAGAAACGTTGGCATGATCAACGGTTGTCGCGGTCTTGGCGTCCCATTCCCGTGCTCCGTGAATGTCCACTCTGCTACCGCTAGCGTTCAACGCTTACTCCACACCCCCCCTCCTTCACTCCTCCCCTCCTTCTCCCCTTCTCCCCTCCTTTTCCCTTCTCCCCTCTTTCACCCCAATTGACATTCCGCAGGTTCCTCCCCTCCGCCACCAGACCCGCGGATGCCGCCGCCCCGCCCTCCCCCCTTCCCTTCGCCATTCCCCTTCGCTGCCCCCACTGCCGCATCTGCTCCTTCTGTTCCCCCGCTTGCCTCGACCAATCACAAGCGGCCACGCACACCCCCTTCCTCTGCCGCGCGCTCTCTCGCCTCCCCCCTCGCTCCGCCACGTCAGCTTCCGCCGATGGTGAGCCATCCGCGCCACAGCCAATCAACGAAGAGAGGCCAGATGACACGTCAGCAGGGGGTGACGCTGACAGCGAAGCAGCGCTGCTGAGCAGCGAGGACAGGACAGCTGTCCGCTTCCTATTGGCCGCGTACGACCTGCTGGTGCATCCGCGCGCGCTGCCCCCTTTGGCGGAGGCAGTATGGGGGGAGGAATTGGCGCAGAGAGCAGGCAGCGGACGGGACAGTAAGGGGGAGGTTGAGGGGGACGGGGAGGAAGTAGAGGGAGGGGGAAGGGGGGGCCGGGGGAGGAGGACGTGGAAAGGTTTCTTTGCGCTGCTGATGGCGCTGGATGGAGGGGATGATGGGGAGGGCGGGAGAGACGGAGAGAGATGCAAGGACGCAACCAATGCAGCTTCTGTCGCTGTGGATAATGGAGCTAGTGCTGGCAGCAGCAGTGCAAAAGCGGTTATCACAGCAGTGGACGCGGAGAGCAAGGGGGAGGAGGAGAGGGCGCGAGCACGGCGGGTGCACGAGGCAGTGCTGCGAGTTACCCGCGACTGGGCGTGGCCCGCTGCCTCTACATCAGCCGCCAATGCACGCGTTGAGGAAGGCAGTAGGGAGGGAATTAGGGAGGGCGCCGATGCATGCGATGCACGCTCCATGGGCCCGCCATCGTGGGAGGTGACGTGGGCGCTGCTGGCTCGAGACACGCGCAACAGCTTTGGCGTGATGGCGCCGTTCAGCCCGGGGGGAGAGCGGGCTGTGCGTGGGTATGCGGTGTATGGCACTGCATCGCTGGCCAACCACTGCTGCTACCCCAATGCCTGCAGGTGCGCCCCCCCCCTTCTGCTCGTGTAGTCTCAGATCACACCACATCACAACACATCACACAACATCACATATCCCATCACAACAAATCACATCACTACATCGCTATGCTTTTTCCATGCGCCAGTGCTGCCCTCACACACAAGTTCTTCCAAAATAAGGCCTTGACACCCCTCTCTTTCTTCCGCGCCCTCTCTCTCTTGCTCTCCCTCTTGCACGCCCTCTTAAACCTCCAACACAGGTTTGACTACTTTGACTCCGTGCCGCCTGCCAGTGCCCTCGCCACCACCAATGGCTTCAGCAGCAGCACGCACATGCAGCTGCGGGCGATGAGGGACCTGGAGTGCGGAGAGGAGGTGGTGCTGTCGTACTTCCCCCTGGGCTGGCGCCTGGGGGAGAGGAGCGCGCGGGTGAAAGAGGAGTACGGGTTTGAGTGCGGTTGTGAGCGGTGCGAGCTGGAGAGACGGATAGGTGGTGATGAGAGTGAGGAGGACGAGGAAGGGGAGGAGGAGGGGGAGGGGGAAGAGGGGTGTGTTGAAGAAGGGGAGGATGGGGCAGGGAGCGATGGAGAGGAAGAGGAGGAAGTTGAGGGGGGGAAGGAAAGAAAGGGCAAGGGATTGGCAGGGAAGGGAGTAGCAGACAGGAAAGGCAAAGGGAAAGCAGCAGCAGAGGAGGATGGTGATGATGCAGACGGTACAGCTGATGGGGACGACAGTGAAGAGGACGGGGATGGGCAGGCTGCTGACGTGTCAGATGCTGAGCTGGCGCACGCGCTGTTCTTCATGAAGCATCTGTGTGCCGTGGAGGGGTGTGGCGGTACCATGGCTGCCAGGCCAGGGACATGGGTGGGAGGAGGGGGAGGGGTAGGGGAAGAGGGAGGGGGGAGTGAGAGAGGAGAGTATGAGGTGGCGGATGACATGGAGTGCAACATGTGCGGTGCGTTGCAGTCTCGACACGAGTTGCTCAATGCTTTGTGCTCGTAGCTGTGCGGTGTGTTCACAGCTGAAAGTAGTAGCAGTGTGACGCTACAGATGTTATCAACTTAGGTATTATTATAATCTGGAAGATAGACCCTCAAAGTACAGTAGCTAAAGTTCAAACATTACTATGCAAATGCGCTTTTCTAAGTAACTGAAGCTGCCGAGTCATAATGCACACAATATGTACAAGAAACGCCATCACGTCATGAAACCTTGTGCTCGCAACACACTGGCTGACACGAGAAATAGTCGATTGATTGGGCATTGCGTCCCTCCGCAGCTTTGTGAGCACAAACCACGAGTGCTTTAACCAACTCGGTAGCTGCCACGGGAATTCTCTGCTCGGGTCACTGGGTCATGTGCGCGGCTTGGGTCGTGACCGGATGTGCGCTTCGATCACCTCGAGGTGCCATAGTGACTCCCTGTTGGGGTCTGCTGACAGATCCACCAGCTTGTGCACCTGGGGAGAGAGGAAAGAGGGGAGAGAGGGGAGGGGTCACTGGGTGAAACGTGTGGCTTGGGTCGTGACCTGGTGTGCGCTTCGATTACCCATGAGGTGTCAGAGAGCCTCCCTGTTGGGGTCTGTGGTCAGATCCTCTACCGTAGCTTATGCATCTGGGCGCAAGGGGAGGGGGAAGAGGAAGGAAGACGAGGGGGGAGGTGGGAAGGGGGAACGCAGACAGGTCCACTAACTTGTGCACCCGGAGCACAGGGGAAGGGGGAAGAGGGAGGGCAGGTAGAGGGGCGAGAGAGAGGGAGAGAAGGGAGAGGGGGAAGAGGGGGGAGAGGAGGGAGAGTAGGGTGAGGGGGGAGAGCGGAGAGAGCGGGGAGAGCGGGCAGGGAGGAAGAGAGGGGAGTGGGGTAAAGGAGGAATGCGGTGGGCATTTGAGGGGAGTGGGGGTAACAAGCACTCGTGCACCCCCCCCCATCCCACATTCCCCCTCATCCCCTATTCCTGGCAAAGGTGCACTACATCCAACGGAGAGAGAAACATGGATAAAATCATGGCGTGCACATGGCTTGGAAGTGGCTGGTGAGGTAAATCATTCGCTTGATTACGGGGCAAAGCTAAAAAGTCAAGCAACGGGGAGTGGTGTTGACAGGTGCTGCTGGCAGCAAAGTCCGCAAGCCAGAACATGAATCATTTGCTTATAGAGTGATCAGAAGGGCAGTGGGTTCACACGAACGACACACCAGCGAACGATGGTGTGCAGTGCGGTGAATAATGGTGTGAGAAGAAAGGGCGTGCAATAGGGTCACCTTGATGAATGGTGGGCTGGCAGGGCGGGTGCAGAGCGCACCGATGACTTGAACATACGACCCTGTGGATGTGTGCATGCACCCACACACAGATTCACACATGCGCGCATGTGCATGCCCCCACACACATGCGCACACATGTGCGCGCACGTAACAAGGCATACAGACGCATGAGAGGGCAGGCTGAGAGAACATGCACAAGCAGGCAGTCTCGTAAGCAAACATTTAATGGTGATGCATGCAAAACGGCAAACACAGACCCGCTTTATTTTGCACGCTTGTAGCCCATCCCCTCACCCATTCCCTTCACCCATCCCTTCACCCATCCCTTCACCCATCCCTTCACCCATCCCTTCATTCACCCATCCCTTCACCCATCCCCTTCACTCACGCCCGCTGCTAGCACACACTCCATCACTCTGCCACTCCGCCACCCACATGCATGCTGCTGTGCTACCCACTCCATCCACAAGACGCATCCAGAACCAATCAAACATACCTGCCATGAACCGATCACCTCTCATCCCCTAATGTCCCGCCCGTTAGAACCACATCACGCACCAACAAGCGGGGGCGACCCCCCTTTAGCAGGAACGATCTCAACCGCTGCACTGCCGTCGTCCAGATACAACCTCCCCTCCGCAGCAGCAGAACCACCTGCGCTAGTAGGCACCTCTCCACCCGGGACAGCAGCGAGGGAGGCAGCATCTGCGCTTCTGAGAACGCCCTGCACCCACACTCGCTGCAGCGCCATGCCGTTCACCTGTGGTGCCATGCCATGCCATGCCATGCCATGGCACGTACAAGGCAGAGACCCAGGCAGAGGCGAAAAGGAGGGGACAGCTGCTGAGCCAAACCCCCTGTAGCAATCAGAGGTGAAGAGAGCACGGAAGTAATGAAGCCCCCCCGTAATCGCACCCCCGTAATCGTTCCAATCGCTCGCGGTGACGTGGCAATGATGATGAGGGCATGGTGACAGACCATGCTGACGAGAGCATGGTGTTGTGGATATGCAGAGAGACAGGTGAAAAGAGGCCATCGTTCAGAGATAATAGAGGTGAGTGACTTGCTGTGTGTTAGTATCCCGAGGCGCCTCGCATGTGGCTTTACAGATTAAAGCCTTTCTCTCCCTTCATTAAACTTAATCCGTCCCCCGCGCCCTCAACTCCCCCCGCACCTCATCCTTCCCCCACGCCCGCATCCTTTCCAGCCCTATACCGCACCTCGAGCAATGGTAGGCCGTTCGCTCGCCGGATAATCCGGTACGCGCTGACGTCAGCGAGGAGCAGCTTGCGAGCGGGCAGAGTGTAGTCCATCGCTGCTCGCGCTGCTAGTGGCGACTCGGAGGGCGATTCGCGGATGTGCTACTAAAGGAGGTAAGGAGGGGGATTCGGAGGTTGGGAATAAGTTGCGGAGATTAGGAGGGGGTTGAGGAGAACGCGATGGGAACGGTACTCTTCGCGGTTGCATCATTCGAACGCAAAGGGGTAACGAAGAGGATACCGATTTGGGCGAGGAAATATGCGGCAATGACGTATGTCCGAACGAATGGAGATGGGTGCTGGGGCATGTGATCACGATACACTTAGCATTTTTATTTATTCCGAAGCATTCCCTATGCAGACGCACTGCGGCCTTCCACCTGCGGAATCGAGACGCGCGACATCCTTAAGTAGTCTGGCAGCAGTGGGCGAGAACTTCAAGTATGGCTGTTGTTCCTGACCCGACTGACCGATTTCATTGAATGTGTTTGTTCGCGTTATTGAGCTGCGCACATGCCTGGGACAAGGTGTTCTGAAACCCGTTTGTGGGTGACGTGGCAACACAACTCCCTTGCCCAGCTGCAACTTCCCCATTCGTCGAAACTGGCTTTCGCGTGATTCGGCCTTGTCAGCTCTTGTGGCATCCACGCTATCCACTCTGGAACTCAAATTTTCGGGTTCGTACACTTCCAATCAGATGCAAAGAGGCCAATCGGCCCGCATATTCCAATTAGCCTTCCCGCATTCAGCCGTGGTTTACTGTTCCTGCTCGTATGAACCTCTGAAGTCGGACCGCATTCGTTTAGCCCAATCGTATGCTTCGGCTGACGCAGTTCATGCGATCGCCTCGTTCCTGGACTCCACCACGCCTGACGGAAATAACCATTCCGTACCGTGTTTTAGCATTCTGTTTGCTTATACCACCGTGTTGAAATACCTTCTGGTTGATGCTCTTTGTGGACAAGTATCTTTCCCCAACAGCTCCTTCACTAGCCGCTGTGCGCATTTGCTTTGGAAGCACAGATTTCATCTTGGTGCAAAAGCGCTCTGCTTGTGGCGGTAGCTGCAGCGACTAGTCGTTCGGCGGTGCTCCTCCGCTGGTTGCGCCGTTGATAGCAAGGTCTTTGCCACTAGAGTCTTACCTTTTTGGCAAGAACTCGAAATCACTTCACGTCGGGTATCCGAAAGGACGCTGAAAAATTGTTTACTACCGATTCCGGAAAGGACACTGAATTCACATCGGGTATCCGACTGCGTCCATGGCTGCCGCCGTTCTCTCGAGGCAACGCCACCATGCGCGGCTCCTCGCCGCCAGGCTCTGCCCCACCCTCCCGTCGCTCCACTCCTGCGCCAATCCCGCAACCCCTTCTCTAGCCGCGTCACAGTCCACGTCAGCGTCGCCCCAGCAGATCACCCCGTCACCGCCAGGTCAACATCTCCCAGAGGCTTCCATTTCCACAGCGACCGCGCGCACGCCCGCTCCTGCAGCCGGCGCGAGCGGAAGCGCGCCGAGCCGAGCCGCTCCGCAGATGCCGGCGTTCGACCACGTGCCGGAGCCGTACACGGGGCCGCGCGCGGAGGAGGTGCTGAAGAAGCGACAGCAGTTCCTCAACCCGACCATCTTCGCCTACTACAAGAAACCGGTGCGCGACCGTCGTGACGTTCGTTCAGTAATTGCATGAGTGACTGAATAAATTACTTTTGAATCGACTCTGAAGCAGTTCCTCAACCCGACCATTTTTGCTTACTACAAGAAACCGGTACGGCGCCGCTGCCGCGCAGACGAAGGTAGTGACTTGTAGGCCGCCGCCGCGTATTCATTCGTCTGGGTTTTTTTTTTTCCACATCGCCCTCTCTATTCCTCTGCTGCACCTCCTCGCGTGTCTTTACCTGCCGCAACGCCTTCCCACCCTAATCTCTGCTTTTGGCATCTCGCCGAAAGAGCTGCAAGGCGTGTGCGGGGCACGAGGCGATGTGGCATCGCAGCTACGAGGAAGGTTCCAGGAGGTGTTGCACATACGCCAGGCCAACACCACCCACTGCCTTAATTCGAGATGACCTTTCAGCACTTTCGTCTGCGAGCACGCCTGCAGGTTGTCTGAACCCCCCCCCCCCCCTCCCCTCTCCCCTTCCATTCCCCCTCCCCCGTATTCACTCCACGCAACCCTTCCCCTGCTCCCCCCCCTTCCCCTCTTTTCCTTGTCAGCTACACGTGGCGGTGGGGCGCATGCAGAGCCTCTAAGACGTTAGGACGGCTGCGGATTGTCGAACATACTAGCCAGTCTGACCCTCCCCCCCCCCCTTCCCCCCTCACCCCCTCCCACACCCCCCACCCCCTTTCCCCCCTCGTCAGCTACACGTGGTGGAGGGGCGCACGCAGTACCTCTATGACGAGGACGCTTGCACGCTGTTGCACGCATGCGCCAGCCCAAACACCCCCGCCCCTCCCTCTCTTCCCCTTTATTTCCCCCCCATAATCCCCATTTTCCCTACCCCTCCCCCTCCCCTCCCCCAGCTGCACGTGGTGGAGGGGCGCATGCAGTACCTGTACGACGAGGACGGGCGGCGGTATTTGGACGCATTTGCGGGCATAGTGACGGTGTCGGTGGGGCACTGCCACCCGGCGTTCGTGGCGGCGGTGGCACGGCAGAACGCACTGCTGCAGCACACGACCAGCATCTACCTCAACCACCAGATCGCTGAATACGCGGAGGAGCTCGCTGCTAAGATGCCCGGTGACCTCAAGGTCAGTCCGTGATTCTTCTGTGCTGGGCTGTACACACGCACTGCGCAGGACGCACCCGCAGAATGTGTACTGCGTGAACTTGGGCTCGGAGACGAGCCACATGGCTCTCACCATGGCGCATCTGGTCACACAGCCAGCTACCTGCCTCCTTCTCGTCCCTCCCCTTCCCTCCTTCCCCTTCGCCCCTTCCCTTTTCTCCCCTCTTTTTTCCCCTCATCAGAGTGTGCACTTCGTGAAGTCACGAAGCCAACGACATGGCACTGACCACTGCACAGCTGTTCACGGGCAACTGCCTGCCCTCCTCCTCGTCCCCATTTCCCCTTTCCCCCTCCTGCGGGTCCCCCCCCCCCCCCCCCCCCCCCCTCCCCCGCACACTCAGAATGTGTACTTGGTGATTTCGGGCTTGGAGGCGAACGCCATGTTACTGACCGTGGCGCGCCTGTTCACGGGAAACTGCATGCACTCGCTCCCACTCCCCTCTTCCCCTTCCCTTCATTCCCCGTCTCCCCTCTCCCCCCTCTCCCCTGAGCAGAATGTGTACTTTGTGAATTCAGGCTCGGAGGCCAACGATATGGCGCTGACCATGGCTCGCCTGTACACGGGCAACTACGACGTGGTTGCTCTGCGCAACGCGTACCATGGCATGTCGCCCGCTACCATGGGTCTCACCGCGCACAGCACGTGGAAGTTCAACGTTCCCCAGGTGAGCGCCGCTCATGTTGCCTGCCACACAGCACAGGGCACACAGCACACAGCACACAGCACACATCACACCATGGCATGTCCCTCGCTACCATGGGCCTCACTGCCCACAGCACGTGGAAGTTCAACGTTCCCCAGGTGCGTGTTTGGGGGGGCTCTTATTGCGTTGCCACTCACATCACACGGTGAGTGGTTGAACTGACAGCATTCATGGCTGTTCCCAAGCACGTGTGTCGCTGTAGCCCTGCTCAATGCATGCATGCTGCCCACCACCATGGGGTACTCAGCCTCAGCCTCAGCCTCTGCCTCAGCCTCAGCCTCAGCCTCAGCCTCAGCCTCAGCCTCAGCCTCAGCCTCAGCCTCAGCCTCAGCCTCAGCCTCAGCCTCAGCCTCAGCCTCAGCTCATGGCACGTAGAAGCTCAACGGCACCTTTCCTCTCCCCTCTCTGCACCTGTCCCCTCCCTCCTAGCCAGGGCTTTGGTATTCACCACGCACTCAACCCCGACCCATACAGGGGCGTCTTCGGTGCTGACGCAGCGAAGTACGCTGCTGACGTGGACGACCTTATCCGCTCGTCCACGCCAGGCCGCGTGGCAGGCTTCATTGCCGAGACCATCCAGGGGGTGGGCGGCACAGTGCCTCTGACACGTGGCTACCTGCCATTGGTGTACGAGTCGATCCGGGCGGCGGGGGGAGTGTGCATAGCGGACGAGGTGCAGACGGGGTTTGGGCGCACGGGGTCGCACTACTGGGGGTTCGAGACTCAGGGCGTCATGCCAGACATTGTTACTATGGCCAAGGTATGATTCCTTAGGACTGGCAAGGAGCTCAGGGGGGTTGGGCGCACGAGGCGCCAACAAGGGGTTTGGGCAGTGGTAGCTGCAACGAAGATAACAGCAGTTATGTTGCATTGCAGTTATGTTGCATTGCAGTTATGTTGCATTGCAGTGGCGGTACTTGGCCTTTCAGGGGCAACCCCATCAGCTGCACATGCAGCCAGGCGTTCATCCCAACAAAGTCAAACTCTTCCTCCCTCCGCCCCCACCCACCGCTAGCAGCAGTGGTAATGACGCCGGAGATCGCAGCAGTGATGGCACCCCGTGGCTGCCTTGGGCTCCTTCACTTCAACACGTTTGGCGGCAACCCCGTGAGCTGTGCTGACGGGCGGGCGGTGATTGTTCTTTCAGGTGCCTTCAATCTCCCAGCCAAGCCAAACACTATTCCCTCCGCTACCACCCACCACAGGGAATAGGTAACGGGCTACCTCTGGCAGCAGTGGTAACGACGCCAGAGATCGCAGCAGTGATGGCACAGCGGCTGCACTTCAACACGTTTGGAGGCAACCCTGTGAGCTGCGCTGGCGGGCGGGCTGTGCTGCGGATCATAGAGGAGGAAGGGCTGCAGGGGAAGTGCGCGGACGCGGGGGGGTACTTGCTGGGGAAGCTGCACGCACTTAAGGAGAAACACGAGGGTGAGTGAGTAATGGAGTGAGGGCGCGAGGGTATGAGGGCGTGAGGGAGCAAGTGAGTGCAAGGCTCATGGGCCTTAGGCCCTAGGGGTTTGCACAGAGGTCACATGGTAGGGAAGGCAGCAACCCCGTGAGCTGCGCTGGCGGGCAGGCGGTGTTGCGGATCATAGAGGAGGAGGCGCTGCAGGGGAAGTGCGCTCACGTGGGGGGGTACTTGCTGGGGAAGCTGCACGCACTTAAGGAGAAACACGAGGGTGAGGTGGCGGGATGGATGGGTGACGGAATGAGGGAGATTATGAGTGACTTGGTGAGAGTGAGAGAGAGCTTGAGGTATATGATGTGAGACAGGGATGGAGGGATGTGTTGCTGGGGTGGTCACTGCCTCCATTTACTCCCACCTTTGCTTGAATGCTCCTTGATGCTCCATACTGTTGACCCTTCCCTTGGTTCCATGCCAACAGTTCATCAGACGTGGGGGAAGGAGCAGGCCTGGTAGTGTAGTGTATTACTGCTGGCATGCCAGGATGCTTGCAATCCACTGCTTCTGTGATGTGACAGTGGAGTTGGCCACAGCTCATTCTCTCTCTTGCCGTCCTCTCCAGCCTTCCCCCAACCTCACTCATGCCGTGCCGTCGTCCAGCAGGGATTGGAGACGTGAGGGTGCATGAGCTGCTTGGGATTGGGCTCATGCTGGGATGGGAGAGAAGCTGGTTTCTCGCTAACCCCCCCCTGCCTTGCCACGTGTTTCGCTGCCCCGCACCCCCCCACTCGCTCCCTCCATGCCACACAACAGTGATTGGCAATGTGAGGGGCGCATGCTGGGGGTGGACCTGGGAGGCAGGGCAGACAGGGGGTGGACCTGGGGGGCAGGGCAGACGGGGGGTGGACCTGGGGGGCAGGGCAGACGGGGGGTGGAGCCGGTGACTGACAGGGCGGCCAGGCCTCTCTCTCTTCCTCTTTCTTTCCGCTCTGCCACCTAACTTGTCTTAATCCCCCCCACGCTTGCTCACTCCATGCCATAATGCCATTGCCACCCCGCAGTGATTGGCGATGTGAGGGGAGCAGGGCTCATGCTGGGCGCAGTGCTGGCTGGGCACACAGAGAGCAGCTAATACTCCCTACCTTCCTCTCTCTTTCCCCTCTCTCACCTTTCTCCCGCCAACAACTACACCCAACAGTGATCGGGGACGTGAGGGGAGCAGGGCTGATGCTGGGAGTGGAGCTGGTTACAAGCTATACTCTGCCTCCCTGTTCCCTTCCCGCTACCCGTGTTCATGCCATGCCACCCCGCCCGCAGTGATGGGGGACGTGAGGGGAGCAGGGCTGATGCTGGGAGTGGAGCTGGTTACAGACCGGGCTGCCAAAACTCCTGCCAAGGCACAGACATTGCAATCCTTCGAGCGCCTCAAAGGTGAAACCTGATGCTGCTGCCTCGGATTGAGGTGGCTCTGACTGTCATAATATTGGTGGGCGTTTCCTTTTCAAGGTGGTGATGAGCGAACGAGATGCTAGCACTTGACAACCCAGGGTAGAGGGTAAAGGAAGGCACGCATTTGCTCTTTGTCCTTCTCATACCCATTTCAAGGGATGCCCTGAGGGTGGTTTTGCACGGCAGTGTGCCTTCCCTGTCCTGCTGGGTACGGCTGGTGGGCAGGGTGGCTGGGCAGGATGGCTGGGCAGGGTGGCTGGGCAGGATGGCTGGGCAGGATGGCTGGGCAGGGTGGCTGGGCAGGGGGTGATACTGTTCGGGCCTTCAGTGCTCTCTTGCTGCCAGGAAGTTCTCCACTGTCCCCCATGCACTGCCTCTGCCCCATGCGCTGCCTCTGCCCCATGCATGTGTCGGCCTGCCTTGCCTTGTCCCCTGTATGGCAGATCTAGGAGTGCTGGTGGGCAAGGGAGGGCACTATGGGAATGTGTTCCGCATCAAGCCACCCATGTGCTTCACCACCGCTGATGCTGGTACGCTCCCATGTGCTGGTACGCTCCCATGTGCTGGTACGCTCCCATGTGCTGGTACGCTCCCATGTGCTGGTACGGCCCTCATGCTCACATGGACCTGATGGGATGAGAGTGTGATGGAAAGTGGAGAGTGTGATGGAAAGGGGAGAGTGTGAGGGCAGGTGGAGAGCATGTCAAGCACGGTTCAATCTCTATTATTATCAACTATCAGGTGTTCCCCAATGGATCAATCTGCTTCCAGTATAGTCCCCACCCCATACAATGCACATCTAAAATAAAACCTCGTTTGTTGTCCTTTTCCCGTCCTGAACCTCACAGACTTCCTCGTTGAGTGCATGGACGTGGCGTTCTCAGAGCTTTAGGAAAGGTTATGCTGCTCTCCCTCATTTGTGATGCTGCTCTCCTCATCTTGCAGCTGCCACTTGCCCACCCCGTATCCCGTCCATTTGTTATTTTCTCGTCAGGATACAGCACTTTTGATGTACATGATATGTTCATACACTGTACAAAATGTTGCGTAAGATTACCGCAACCAAGTCGCCCTTGGGAGCTCATACAAATGAGAGCGTGTTCCTACACCTCGTATCAGAAACACCTCGTATCAGATTCGTGTGGTGAAATGCGTTCCAGTGTGTTCGACTGCGGTTGGATATGTTTTAGTGCGGTTTGACGCGAAATTGATACGAGGTTGCCTGATAGGAACACTCTCTTAGTCTCTGAAGTAGATTCGGTAGGTACAAAGGTACAAACAAAAACGCTGAAAAATCAGCCATGGCTGATAAAAAAAAACACTGATGAATCAGCCAAGGTAGACAAGCTGTTGTTTAGGTACCCCCCCAATCACATAGAAAGGCGTATATTAGGGGCTAGTTGAATGTTATAGTGATGTTTCAGTAGCGAACATTGTCAGAATCCTAGCCACTAACCACTGGAATTAACGGGCTTGTTTCTGTACCAGCGAGTGGCCGCTGTGTCGTCAGCAGTAGTGTCACCCCCCTCAGCTGGGCCAGAGTTGTCAAAGGTGACCTCCAAAGGCTCAACCAAGGGGGGTGGGTCTACCTGAGACACACCTGAGGGAGCAGGACCCTGAGGGGGGAGGGGGTCTACTGGGGGGGGACTTGGAACCAGGAAGAGAGAGGCGGGGGGGGGGGGGGGAACGTGGGTAGTGCGGTGGGGATAGAGACGGTAGAAGCAAACCGACTCGTCAAAGGTGACGTCCTGAGAGGACAGAACACGGCGCGAGGTGGGGTGGTAAAACTGTCAACCAGGCGTGTCGGTGGGAAAGCCAAGGAAGACGCAGCGAATTTTCCGAGAAGAGAGCTTGTCAGCGGTGGCATCGCGGACAAGGGCATGCGGACCCCAGACCCGAAACGCTAACGCATCGCCAACCTTCCCTGCCCAGCGCAGTGTAGGCGAGGTCTCTGGCACGGAAATTGGGGCCATAGGTTGAGCTGATGCGCGGCGTATCTGACCACAAACGACCACAAAAACGGGGAGCAGCTGCATGGATCATGGAGGTACGAGCAACCTCCATGATCAAGCCAATGCGGCGCTCAGCAATCCCATTCTGCTGCGGAGAGGCCAGAAGCGTGAACGACTGGGTGATGCCCTCCTCACGACAAAAAACTTCAAGGAGGCGGAAAGAGAACTCACCGCCTCTGTCAGAGTGCAGACGCAGGACCGGAAGGTCCAGCCGGAACTACTCGCGGAGCTGGCAACGGACAGTGCGGATCCAGGGGATCAAGACACTAGGAACATCCGCCTTGCACTGCAAGGGAAAGACCGTCGTGTACCGTATTCCCCCGGACATACCACCCCCCGAAATAGAGCACCCCCCGGGTGGCTTGTGCGGGGGGGGTGCTATAGCGGGCCTCGTTTCTACTATACCCCCCCTTTTGGGGGCATCCTATATAGCACCCGGGGGGGGGGGGTGTTATGTACGGGTATAATTGCAGTTTTTGCCTAAGTAGCACAGGGTTTCCACAGAATTTATGCTTGGACATGGAGCGAGGAGGCAGGTGGTGGTAGGACACTATGCCGAGCATTGCTCGAGTTCGTGGAATGGAGCCGCTGCACAGAAAGAAGGATCAACTCCTTCACAGTTCAATGACGTGCCCGCCCAGCGAGGCAACCGAGGCTGTTGCGGGGACTCCGCCATTGTCACCTGCATGAATCCTCGTCGTGCGACGAGGGGGTGTGATTTCGTCCAATCAGGGCCTGACAGTGGGCCTTGTTGGAGCTTGCAATGTGGCAGCTAACCCTCGCGCAAAACGTTATCGCACAGTCCTCGGTTTTGCGCACCCAACCAGCAATCTACCACCACGGCACAGATGTACATTTAGTACTAAACGTTTTACGCTATAAAAAAAATATACATTATGTAAAGACCCGGGTGCAATGTAGCTTTTTCCGATGACAAGACCCCCCCCCCTTTTTTTTGTGTAGTTATCATAGCACCCTAGGGTGGTATATCCGGGGGAATATGGTAGCGCATGTAGTCGTCAACAACCAACAGAAAGTAGCGCTCGCGGTTCGGTCCATTGACGCGGGCTGGGCCCTACACGTCCATGTGGAGAGTCTGCAGAGGAGCCTCTGTCAGAGGAAACGAGGAGGAGTGAGGAGCGCGGCGCTGCCGCCCCTCGACGCAGGGAAGGCACGGCGGTGCAAGCGAGCGCGGAAGCGGGGGCAGGGACCTGGGGAGGCCAGAGACAAGGAGACGGGAGTGCATGCTACGCAGACGCGGCCGGGAGGGGTGACCAAGACGGTGGTGCCAAAGGAGAGTCTGGTGCGTGAGAACTCGACACAAGCAAGACGCAGCTAGCTGACGCGACACAGATACCTGACCTGACGCAGCCACCTGTGCAGATGCAGTAGTCAGTGTGTACAGGCCAGACCCAGGCCTCCATGTGAACGTGGCGAGGTGGCGGCCAGTCCAAGCACACGTACAAATTGCTACACACACAACCGCGAACCTGGACAAAGAGCGTATAACTTCACCATCACGTTCATCGACGCCGCCACACGATACGTCTGGCATCTCAACCTCCCAAGCCGAGACATGGCCTTTGAAGCCTTCGTCGCCTGGCTTCCAGTAGCAGAACGGGAATCCGGAGCGAAGCTCAAAAGCTTCTAGTCAGACGGGGGAGGAGAATACCAGTCACAACGCTTCAAGCAGTATCTGGCAGAGAGATGAATCAAGAGACTCATCTCTCTCACCTACGCCCATCAACAGCAAGGTGTAGCAGAGAGGATGAACAGGACACTCCAAGGTGAGCACCATGCGCAAACTACTACGTGGCATGCTGCTACCCAACCACCAGTGGCCCGAAGCAATGGACCATGCCGTGATGCTGCACAACTTGCTTTCGTCGTCGTCACTCCCGAACAACGCATCACCGCATCTGCTGTGGACAGGGAAATTGGGCAACACAAAAATGTTACGAGTTTTTGGCTGCATGGTACAGTACCGACCACACACTGCACGAGCCGGAAGATTTTCGCAACGTGCACAGTGGGGACTACACCTGGGCATCGAAAAACATTACAACGCGTGGAAGATATTTGATGTCCACACCCAGGAGTAGTGGTAGTGACCATCTCATCCTGGAGGACAGCGTTACTCACCAAGTTCGTAGTGAACGAGGAGAGGTGAAGACCGTGAAGAAGAGGAGAGGAGAGGACACGCCGAACACGGAAACGAGGAGAACGAGGAGAGGTGAGCCAGAAGGGACCGCCGGACACGGGAGAACAGTGGAGGCACGTGCAACGATAGGGCCCCCAGAGGGGTCTGCCAGAGAGATCAGGACAGGTGCAATGAGAGGTGTGACTGTGGTGCTGTCTCGGAAGAAACATCGTGACGCGCCTAAGTCAAGTGTGAAAGTGTGCAGGGCCTCAGCAGGAGCAGCACCTAGGACTGCAGACTCACTAGCACCTAAGGCAGCAGCTTCTATACCAGGATCGGGAGGCACACACAACTAACAGTAACCCTCAACACTAGCAGAACCAGCATACAGAGCATACATGGCAGCATTGATCTTATCAAAGTCTAGAGCAAATACATCAACCCCCTTCTTGAGTAATTCTAACCATTTGGGGATCTCAATGTTATCACCATACTCGGTGCGCCAGGCATCTTCAAGACGGAAGAAGCAACGAGACTCAGTGTGTCCAATCTTCCCTCAGGGGTCACCAGCCCGGGGACCCGTGCGCCTGATGTATGGGCAACGAGCACTACGCTGAACAACCCACTCATGAAGCCGCTGGGGCGTGAGTGTCTCCTGCTGGCACGGCTGCTGCTGCTGTCCACCCCCAGAGCCTCCGCCTCCACGAGCTGCACCCCCTGGCGTCGCCCCAGAGCCTTCTCCCTTAGCAGCTCCACCCCGACCGCCACCCAAGCCCCCTCCTCCCACCTCACCGCCTCCACCACCCCCGCCGCCTCCTCCGCCGCCACAACCGCCTTCACCCCCGCCACCACCACTGCCACCACCCCCAGCAGCGCCACCTCCACCACCCTTATCCCCCTTGCCCTTGCCAATGCGGTGCCTCCCACCAGGAGCAGACGCAGCACCAACCTCCTCAGCACGAAGGAAGTCAACAGCAGCAGCAGAGGCAACAGAGGGCGCAAGAAGGGAGGGAAAACACCCCTCAAAGACGGGAGTGCAAGGAGTGCCACGAGAAGCAGCGACAGCAACGGCACTAGTCTCAGCCTCGAGGAGATGCTTCTCTAGCAAATCCACAGTCAGCTCGGTAGGGTCAAGGGCGAGGAAGTGATCCCTAACGGCATGGAGAGAGTCAGGGAGGCGAGTGACGAGAGGGTGATGTACATAGAGGGCGGGTTCGCAACCAGAAAGGCCGGCTTGAGAGCAGTGCGGTAGCGAGTGTCACTAGAATGAAGGTGGGTGATGAGATCGGCTACGGTGTGGAAGTCTGACAGCTCGGGAAACAGATACGGCAACATGAGACGACCTAGGGCAGCAGTAGAGGGGGAGGAGTAGCGAGCGACAACGGCGTCATAGAGTTCTTTCGCGGGCTTAAGCTGGCCAAAGCGGGAGGTGGTTGCGGACACCAAGGCGAGCGGTAGCATCACGCGGAAGCCACTGCGAACGAACTGCACGGTCAGCTGAGTCCGTTGGAACGGGTAAGGACCCAGACGTATTCTCGAAAAGTGAGTCATTATCCCTAGATTCGCTTCGCAGGTATAGCTGAAGATCTTCGAGCCAGGTGTCCAACCTAATCGGGCAACCCTCCGCGTTGAATGTCAGTACTGTAATGGTAGCCATGGTAGGCAATGGCTGTAGTAGCAGGAGCAGTAGCAGTAGCAGCAGAAGCAGTCGGAGGAGCAGCAGCAAAGGCAGTTCGGCTG